CTGTTGTACGCTAGGGGGCGCTATTACGCATCTCCTGAATGAGTCTAGAATCACTCGATCAAAAACACAGGCGAGGAAGACGCAGAAACGAGCGATCTCAGATGTAAGCGCATGCATATGAAAAATAATGCGATCATCAACACTAACCGCGTATAAATGAAAACTGCCTGATGTTAGCGAGTGAAATGTGGATCCAGAAAGTGTGCAAGCTTTGGGAGCGCTGATGGAAGCCATCTACTGCATCTTTGCTCTGATAATATTACCGAATATGATCCAGATGCAGTATTTGATAAAAATGCAATTTGCTCAAAATGTTGCTTTTTTTATGAAACCTACTACATTCAAGTGTTGATAAAAAAACAATGCTTGAAGCTAGAATTAAACAGGTTTTTTTGTTTGAAAGTAGACGGTCTGATTTTATTGTGATGTATTGCGTGTTCAGATATTCATACAACAAAATATTCTGGCGGCCATGACATTTTTTGTGAGAATCATCAAAAATGCTGGCGGTGGCTGACAACTTGTTTAAAAAACGCTGGCAGGGAAAGAGTTAAGAAGAAATTTCTTCTTAACTGCCATTTTCTTCTTATTTTCTGACTTTAAAAAAAAGTTTCGAATATTTTGTATTCCCAAAAATTCTTCTTAAGAATATTCTTTAGATAAAAACTTAAGAATTCAAATTCTTGAAAAGAATCTTCTTAAAAATTATCGTAAAAATTATCTTCTTAAAGTTTGGCTAACCTCAGACTTGCCTTAAATCCCAAATGGTTAAATTGTTTTAATGAATTTATTGGATTATTTTAAATTAATTGTTATATTTAAGCTTTACAACAACACTAGCTACATGGTAAGACTAACGAGGTGCACAAGTGTTCTGCAGTGACACACCAATGACTTGCAATGTAAACCATGATCGGTCGTGATTACGTGTGACGCGACTTTTTTGCTGAATTCAAAACTCCGCAAGAACTCAACAAAAACGAGTCAGGTGCTTATTATGATTATTAGAGTAATCTGCAGGAAGTGCAAAAAGACGATCCTTGAAGTGCGAGTTTATCAGTGCGTCAGATTCTTAAGAAAAAAAGATGTTCTTATTGCACTCAAGAACTTCTTGAAATGTATCCTGTGAAATTCCTTTTAAGTTTTCCGTGCATCCGGCTCCTGATCTGTTGTTTATCTGCAGAGAGTCCGTCTCTGGCCGTCTCACAGGGATTACGTCAGAGTCCACGAGCGCTTCAGCCAAACTCTGAGGGGTTTTACCGTCCGCCGGATCGAGCGTGTGCAGAACAGGGAACTCTGGGAAGACTTCATGTTGTGGGTATCAGAACCGATCGTCTGTCGCAAATCATCCGTCTTTTAGTTTGCATAAACATGCATTTTTCCACAGAAAAAAGGAGCGGATGAAAATTACGAACAAGCAGGAGAAATTTGGCGATCGGCTTTTATTCCACGCCACCGAATCCTCTCTCGTTGAAGCGGCGTGTCTGAGAAACGTTGACTTTGAGACGTCGGATACAGCAGCGTATGGACAGGGTGTGTTTCTGATTCCTGTAGATGACAGATCGACTGTACAAATTAAGATTTTTAACATTTTAGTTTCTTATGCTCATCAAGGCTGCATTTATTTGATCAAAAATACTGAAAAAATGTGAAATATATTACAATGTAAAATAACGTTTTTATATTTTAATACACAGTAAAATCTAATTTATTCCTGTGATCAAAGCTGAGTTTTCAGCTTCGTTACTCAAAGTATCACACGATCCTTCAGAAATCATTCTAATATGCTGATTATTATCAGTGCTGGAAACAGTTGTGCAGCCAAATATTTATTTTTTTATTTTTTGGAACCTGTGATGCGTTTTTCAGGATACTTTGATGAATGAAAAGTTGAAAAGAACGTCTCGGTTACGTATGTAACCCTCGTTCCCTGAAGGAGGGAACGGAGACGTCACGTCGGAGGACCGACGAAATTGGGATCTCGCTTAGAGGGACCAATCTACTTCGAGTGTAAACTAAACGAGCCAATGCACATTGGCATGCGATTATTGCATCCAGCTGCTGCTGATCACAGCGTGAGTATAAGTAGGCAGCAGATGCAGCGCAATGTGCATTGGCTCGTTTAGTTTACACTCGAAGTAGATTGGTCCCTCTAAGCGAGATCCCAATTTCGTCGGTCCTCCGACGTGACGTCGAGAGTGACCGACTGAAAGGGAACAGTCTACCGTTTAAAGTAAATTTTTATTCTGTCTTTTTTTGAAAGAAATTAATAATTTTATTCAGCGAGGATGTTAAATCGATTAAAAGTGAAAGCAAAGATTTATATTTTGAATAAACTTTTTGGAACCTGTGATGCGTTTTTCAGGATACTTTGATGAATGAAAAGTTGAAAAGAACAGTCTACCGTTTAAAGTAAATTTTTATTCTGTCTTTTTTTGAAAGAAATTAATAATTTTATTCAGCGAGGATGTGTTAAATCGATTAAAAGTGAAAGCAAAGATTTATATTTTGAATAAATGCTGTTCTTTTTTTCATCAAAGAATTCTGAAAAAAGTATCACAGGTTCCAAAAAAATTAATATTTGGCAACATTGTTTATAAATCAGCATATTAGAATGATTTCTGAAGAATCATGTGACACTGAAGACTAGAGTAATGATGATGGAAATTCAGCGCTGCATCACAGGAATAAATTATATTTTAAAGTATATTAAAATAGAAACCATTATTTTATATTCTAATAACATTCGCAATATTACTGTTTTTTTTCTGTATTTTCGATCAAATAAATGCAGCCTTGATGAGCAGAAGAGACTTACTGAACTCAAACTTTTGACCAGCAGTGTATGTACAGTTGAAGCGTTGTGTTAACGAACTGACGACGTTTTCCTTCTGTCTGACAGGGATTTATCTCTCAAAGGACGCCAGGTACTGGATTGAGCGTGAGGACGGTTGTGCGACGAGGCTGATGTTCGCGTGCAGGGTGCTGGTTGGGTATTACACCAGAGGAGCGGCTCGTTTCCGCCACCCTCCGGCCAAAAACACTGAAGGAAGTCTGTACGACAGCTGTGTGGATAATCCACGTGACCCGTCCGTTTTCGTAGTGTTCGACAGGTGTCAGATCTACCCAGAGTTTCTTATTACCTTCGAGGACAGCAACAAGTGTTTAGTGTCTGGTATCGCTCGGGTAGACGCAAAAGAAACTAGTCAAACCGCTGAAGCCACAGAACCAGAGCGAACCACGTTTATCTCCACCAACTCCAGCAGGTGCACAAGCTCGGACAGTTCACTCGAGGGTCCAGATTCTGATCCAGAACACACCTCATCCTCCTCCAGACGAACAGAACCTCTCATTACGCTCTTAAGCTCAACATTAGACACCGATGTGGGCGTCTCCGCTGCACTTCCTGTCTCAGCTGAACTCTTTTCCACTGCTTTTCCTGTCTCTGCTAAAAGTGCCTCCACTCCACTTCCTGTCTCAACTGAAAGTGCCTCGAATGCACTTCCTGTCTCAACTGAATGCATCTCCACTGTACTTCCTGTCTCAGAAAAACACAATTCCACTGCACTTCCTGTCTCACCTGAGGACATTTCTACTGCATTTCCTCTTTCAGCGAAGGGCATATCCTCTGCACTTCCTGTCTCAACGGAACGCATTTCCACTGCACGTCCTGTCTCAACTAAAAGTGCCACGAATGCACTTCCTGTCTCAACTGGACGCATCTCCGCTGTACTTCCTGTCTCAGAAAAACGCATTTCCACTGCATTTCCTGTCTCAGCTAAAAGTGTCTCCACTGCATTTTCTGTCTCACCTGAGGACATTTCCAATGCATTTCCTCTTTCAGCGAAGGGCATTTCCACTGCACTTCCTGTCTCAAGTGGAAGTGCCTCGAACGCACTTCCTGTCTCAACTAATCGCTTCTCCCCTGCACTTCCTGTCTCAAGTGGAAATGCCTCGAATGCACTTCCTGTCTCAACTAATCGCTTCTCCCCTGCACTTCCTGTCTCAAGTGGAAGTGCTTCGAATGCACTTCCTGTCTCATATGGTTCTAGTTCTGTGACTAGCAGAAAACCTGCAGCGCAGAAGAACAGCTGCACTGTCATGTGATCTGTTACGGTGCTGCACAAATGATTTTCTTGCTTAGTATTTCTGTCTTGTGTTCTAGTATAAACATCTAAACATTCTTGAATCAAGATGCATTTACTGGACGAGTAAAATGGCTTAAGATATTAAGTCTTGTTTTCTAAAAACAATTATCAAAATTTAGATAAGAAAAATAATTAGTGCTGGGCAACAATTAATCGCATCCAAAATAAGTTTTTGTTTATATAATATGTATTGTGTATATTTATTATGTATATATAAAGACACACATACAGTATATATTCTGAAAATATTTACATGTGTGTATATATGTATTTTCATATAATTTATATTATATATAAATATATTGAATATATAAACATAGCATACTTTTCTTAAATCTATACATGCATGCATGCATGTGTGTGTATTTATAGATACATAATAAATATACACATGTACACAAACTATTATTTTGGATGTGATTAATCACGATAAATAATCTTAATTCAAGGCTAAACAAGATTATTTTTCTTGCCTCATTGGCAGATATTTTTGCTTGTTTTAAGAACTTTTTTAGAAAACAAAAATTAATATCTTAAGCCACTTGTAAAGTAAATTAATCTTGATTCAAGAATTTTTAGATGTTTATACTAGAAAACAAGACAAAAATAATAAGCAAGAAAATCATAACTTGATTTCGTGTCATAACATGCGCTAAATTACTGCGCTGCGTTCAATGAGAGAAATAATATTGAGTTCAAAGGTGTAAGTTTATGTTTATGCATGTCATATAGACGTAACAGTTAATTATTAATCTGGCTGAACAGATACAGTGCATGCCACACTGATACTGAAAACCTTTCCTGATGAAGAAGATGTGAGGAAATCATCTGATAATCTAGTCATGTAACTGCACGATCACATCACATTTATAAATGTGCAGAACTGAAACACTGTTTGGTTTGGTTGTTAGCTCCTGATATTTAGTTCTGTCCTGGTCAGTTTTGGTTTGGTTTCTTGTCCATTCGAATGGAATAAAAGCTGACACCAAACAGCTCTCTGGTGTCTTTGGTCTTTTTATATTTTACTTTACATGCATGCATTTGTTAGATGCTTCTATCCAAAGCGACTTGCCTTGCATTTGAGGTACACATTTGCATTTGATCATTTCTTGAAATAATGCATTTGCATCCTAATAGTATCATAGTTTGCGCTGGCCTTGCTGGTGGTTTAATCTCTTCAGTGTAACCTTAAAAAGCATCTCTGGATTTCACCGGAGACCGTTAGTGCGTTGTGGGATTATTTTCATGCATTTTTTAACATTATTATTATTATTATTTATTGTCTTTTGATTGTTGATTGAGGATCAAATCAAACTTCTGCCGAGCTACACGAGTCCACCAGAGCTGTTCTCTGATTATTTTAGACCCTTTAACTGTGTTTTTCACAGTGATTTTTTTGTGTTTTAACCCATTTAATCCCATGATGGTGACCGTGAAGAAGGTTTTCATTTATAAAACTCTAAAAATGTTACTGACTGGTGTTTTAGTGCATTTCCTGCAAATATGGAAAAAAATAAAGGGTCTCAATAAGTAATAATATTATATATAATAAGAGCAGTTTACTTCCTGTTTGCACCTTGAGAAGATGATGCCTGCACCGAAGCTCCGAAACAAAAGCCTAGTAAACTATGTTAACATAAAGATATAGTAAAGATTTTTGGTGCAATGTTATCTTTAAGGTGTCTACCATTAAGTATAGTTTTTAATTATATAATTATAGCATTAATTAGTGTCATAGAATGAGTAAACATGTTGATGGCAACAATAGTGACCTGTGGAATAATACCGTGCATGTAGATATATATAAAATATATATATATTTATACCTTGCTACCTGTACTGTGTTAGGCTAACCATTTGCACTTATGTATTGTTGCTCTTTTGTTAGTTTTGATTGCTTCTATTGTGCTTATATTTGGATAAAAGCGTCTGCTAAATGACTAAATGTAATGTAAATGTAGATATACATATAAAAGCAGTTGCAGCTATTAGTGAAGGTTGCACTAAAATGCTGCAATGACAACGTTACAGTGAATATTGCACTGAATTCAAAGTTCAATTACAAATTAAGTTACAATATTGATGTTGTGATACTTGAAGTACTAATATAAGAGTTTTATATAAAGTAGCAATTTTGAAATATGTTGATGGTTGTATTTTTCTCTCAGTATTCCTATCAGTGTTGTATAAGGGTTTTTAACCCTAGAATGTGATGAAACAGAGTTTAAAATAGCTTGGCTGAGATATACAACAGTTTTGATGACTGCAGAAATGTGTTAGTTCTGGATACACGTTATCCTTTCAAAAAAATTGTCAAAAAATTATTATTGATTACTTCAAAGGGTTACTAATGACACATCGTTTGGATATTTTCATGTCTGGGAAAAAGTTGGGATTAAACGGGTTAAAATGCTTCACATGTTATGCATCATTTGGTGTTATATAATCAGCATTCGGTACAGAATCCGTTTCGGGACATGTCAGGTGCTGCTTTTGTACCGTTGCTTAAATCAGCGGCTCATTGTGTGTGTGAGTGTGAGTGAGTGTGTGTGAGTGTGTGTGAGTGTGAGAGTGTGAGTGTGTGTGAGTGTGTGTGAGTGTGAGAGTGTGAGTGTGAGTGAGTGTGAGAGTGAGTGTGAGTGAGTGAGTGTGAGTGTGTGTGTGTGTGAGTGAGTGTGTGTGTGTGTGTGAGTGTGTGTGTGAGTGAGTGTGAGTGAGTGTGTGTGTGTGTGTGAGTGAGTGAGTGTGTGTGTGTGTGTGAGTGAGTGAGTGTGTGTGTGTGTGTGAGTGAGTGAGTGTGTGTGTGTGTGTGAGTGAGTGAGTGTGTGTGTGTGTGTGAGTGAGTGAGTGTGTGTGTGTGTGTGAGTGAGTGAGTGTGTGTGTGTGTGTGTGTGTGTGTGTGTGTGTGAGTGTGTGTGTGTGTGTGTGAGTGAGTGTGTGTGTGTGAGTGTGTGTGTGTGTGAGTGTGAGTGAGTGT